CGATCTAAGGATTGGCAATCGGTGGCAGAATCATCGATCTAAGGATTAGCAATTGATCTCAGAATTATGGCATGGAATGGAAAGGAATGCGCAACATGTCCAGACAGCAAAAAACATTCTCCCCTACCTGATACCCACAGACAACACACACCATCCTCTGACTTCCAACTCCTTCACAAGACACACCATCCTCTGCACCATATGGAATACTTCACCATCCAAACCTATTCCGTCACCCTGAGAAATAAAATTCCATTGTTTCACAGCCTGCACAGCTTCTCTCCTCTCTTTATGCAGCATGGCTAGCTTTCTTCCTGAATACATGCCTTCATCACAAAGTCATCACATGGTCATCAGCTTCAAGTTCTAAATAATCTCTTAAAACATTGTGAACACTCAGAGCTATTTAACTTTTAAAACTATATATACAGTTTTATATGTACTTCATGTATGAGACCATGATTTCTTTTTTTTTCAACTATTATATTAGAAAATATTGTTCATGCCCTATTTCTGCTTTCTTTCCTCATTATCCAGCTACATTTCAGGCCTTCACAGATAAAAGGCTCATGTAGGAATTTCTACGTTTTCTTTCAATTGAAACTATTTCATAAAGTAAATGAGCTCCTTTGCAACTGCCTTAATTATAGAAAAATAATGTAAAATAATATAATGTGCTTGCAAGCAGACAGCTAATTCTGAAAAGTGTTTTAAGATATTCTTTTTACTTTGACTTTTAAAACAACCCTAGAGAGCTGTATTATTTATGCCATACCACAAAAATCTCAATTGAAATCGGAAACGAGTAATAAAACTAAAATTAAATTTACTCCACTGTTGCCAGTAATCAAAACCAGTTTCAGTGCAGTGGAAGACAACTATTTAATTTGGGAGGTTTCTTTCCCCCAGAGCACACATGCACAGTCATCAAGGTCTGCTTTAAAGCATTTACAATGCTACAATGCTAGATTACTAACTTTTTCTACAGCTGTGGAAAAAGGTATGATTAGATACTGGATACATCAGGTACAAATGACTTAAACTGGCCTGTAAACCTTTTGGAGCTTCCCTGGTCATCTCTGCTCCACTCCGAAGTACAGACACAAGAGAAGGTGGCAGACAAGTAACTGGGGAGCCAGTCTGACATCTGGATATGTTTCAGGGTTTAGTTCCTGCAAGAAACACATGAAAACAGGCAATCAGAACACATTAATATACACCTCAATTGTTATTAAAGCAAATATTTTTTTTTCCAGTCCAAAGTTTTAATTTTTTGATGCTTATATATGATGACAGTGAAAGTCAAAAGTTCTGACTGACAACTTCCCTTCTACATCTGTTGTGTTTTTATTCAAGACTTCAGGTATTTTGAACTAAACTTTGTCTCTCGTGTTTGTGGAACATATAAACAAAAGCAAGTGCAGGCTGTGTACCACAAGAGCAATGGAACGTATACTGTGCCCAGTTACTGCATTTACTGTCACGCAGCTGTTCTGTCAAGGGTTACAGTAATAATATGTACATGTCAGAAATGTGTTTAGTAAGGGTGTGGTGGGGGTGAGAAAGACACATACACTAGCATCTCTTTGGAAACCTAGAGTTGTTTAAGAGTAAAATTGAGTTGCCATTCAAGGAAATGGGGCTGCCCCACCATGTTTGTGAGCTTTTTCCTTCTGCCTACTGGAGTGGAAAATAAGAGAGAAACAGAGTGCGATGCTTACCCTTCTATAATGAGAACCATCATGAAGCACACTGAGCTAGCTGGCTTTTCAGTCATCTGTATGGATCAGACATGCCTTCAGAAGTATTTATAAGAAGATAACTTACTTTTACCTCACAGCCTCTTCTTAGCATTGGCATCCATGAACTTGCTAGATGACATTTTCACATAACTATGTTCCTTCCTTTACTGCCTTCTCTAGCAGTTTCGTGACTATCAGGCCTTGGCTTCGATCATGTGAGGAAGCACTAAGCTTTGTACCACTGAACCCCTGCATACAGAAAGCAAATAGTAATAATATTATTGCATTAATACACTAAACCTTCTGGTATGAGACTTCACATCTATATGTATTTTTTAAAAAACATTTAATGTACAGTATATTTTAAAGTACAGTATCAATCATTTTTCATATCACTCCAATTGACTAAAACCTCTTCCCTATCTCTGAGTCAAAGGCTCCAACTAAACATCTATTTAATCTGGAACCGTAACATTCTGACAGTTTCAAAATAGTCCTGAAGACACTATGCTCTTTAAGGATGTAGACAACCTACTATAAAATGCAGGATACATTCACAGTTTGGTGCTTGGAGACTTTAAGTATGTCTGTCATTCTCAACAGCACAGAATTCTGACAGAGTAACAGTCAGGAAATGCAAGAAATTTTGAACTAAACTTTGTCTCTCGTGTTTGTGGAATATATAAACAAAAGCAAGTGCAGGCTGTGTACCACAAGAGCAATGGAACGTATACTGTGCCCAGTTACTGCATTTACTGTCACGCAGCTGTTCTGTCAAGGGTTACAGTAATAATATGTACATGTCAGAAATGTGTTTAGTAAGGGTGTGGTGGGGGTGAGAAAGACACATACACTAGCATCTCTTTGGAAACCTAGAGTTGTTTAAGAGTAAAATTGAGTTGCCATTCAAGGAAATGGGGCTGCCCCACCATGTTTGTGAGCTTTTTCCTTCTGCCTACTGGAGTGGAAAATAAGAGAGAAACAGAGTGCGATGCTTACCCTTCTATAATGAGAACCATCATGAAGCACACTGAGCTAGCTGGCTTTTCAGTCATCTGTATGGATCAGACATGCCTTCAGAAGTATTTATAAGAAGATAACTTACTTTTACCTCACAGCCTCTTCTTAGCATTGGCATCCATGAACTTGCTAGATGACATTTTCACATAACTATGTTCCTTCCTTTACTGCCTTCTCTAGCAGTTTCGTGACTATCAGGCCTTGGCTTCGATCATGTGAGGAAGCACTAAGCTTTGTACCACTGAACCCCTGCATACAGAAAGCAAATAGTAATAATATTATTGCATTAATACACTAAACCTTCTGGTATGAGACTTCACATCTATATGTATTTTTTAAAAAACATTTAATGTACAGTATATTTTAAAGTACAGTATCAATCATTTTTCATATCACTCCAATTGACTAAAACCTCTTCCCTATCTCTGAGTCAAAGGCTCCAACTAAACATCTATTTAATCTGGAACCGTAACATTCTGACAGTTTCAAAATAGTCCTGAAGACACTATGCTCTTTAAGGATGTAGACAACCTACTATAAAATGCAGGATACATTCACAGTTTGGTGCTTGGAGACTTTAAGTATGTCTGTCATTCTCAACAGCACAGAATTCTGACAGAGTAACAGTCAGGAAATGCAAGAAATACAGCTTCCCAGGAAACAGCAACTTCTGACTGCTACAGTAGTACTTTCCTACATAAGAACTGATTGAGGCTGTTGGGACTTTTCTCGTTTTAAATGCCATAATAATGACAGTCACAGCCAACACAAATTCATATTTGAATTCAGAGGTGTAAATGCCACCCACGATCTTAAGATCCTGCATTACTACAGATTGTTTTTAATATATTACACATAATGCTTACTAGAAAACCACCCCATTTTCAGATATGATTCCTTACAATGACTATTTAAACTATTATAGTTTTCCTTCTTTTTTTCCATTTTCCATTTGAGGTTACACCAAAAATTAGTTAAATAGATAATGACATCACAACGTTACAAAATATGCCAAAATATTTAACATACAATTTCTTATAAACAATAGACAATTCCTAAAAAAAAAAATCCACTTGCGTTAAGTAGTGCTTTGTGTTAAAGAGAACAATGAGATCAATTTCAGCATGTTTTGGGCAGTTAAAACCAGGCTTTTATGATTAATTTGGCATTTCAACTTTTACTTAAGAAAAGTTCCTTGCTTCATACAAATGCACACAGAAGCACCAACGATATTAAAAAAGCCAGGAGATACTTAAATACCTGATAATCAGCAAACTGAAGAAGGACTGCCATGGGGTTGGCAACCAGGACAAAGTGTAGCCATCAGTGCTGAACAAGAATGATTGCCAGAAAATACTGTTGACAAATTAAATGGAGAGGGCTCAATAAATGGATGGCCCAGGCTGTGAATGATATATTCTGGCACCAGTGGTATTATCTAAAAAAAAAAAGAGAAAAAATAGAATGTAAGTATCTTATTTTTGTGTAAGCATCAACGCATATTACTCTAAATATTTTAATATAAATTTCAAGGACAGTATTTCTGCATATAAAATTAGATACAAGTACAATCCCGGAGGAATCAATGATTTAGCATTGTAAATCTAGGCAAAAAATAGGCCTGTACCATAATGACAGACAAATAATAAAATGACAGCTTAACACTGTGATCTTGTAAGCCCTTACAGATAGATTTTTTTTAAAAAATATCACCATTAATTCCATGTCTGGACACACTAGAATATGTTGAAATAACCAGCTCTCCTTTAAAGAAATGCAGAAGTATTTGCAGCTGTGATACTAACATTTAAGTTCTGTACACAAAATTCAAGATACGCTAAAGGTTTCAAATAGCAATGTTAATTCAACCACTTCAGTCACAATCACTATAGCTTTTTTTTAAATTATATATAAAATTGCTGTATTTAACAAGTTTTTTACTTACATTTTTAATACTTCAATTATAAAATGTGTAATTTTCATTCTGCATTAGCATAGGTACTTTCAGTTAATAGATATATACAGTGTGACTGCACATTCAGAACCTGAGATGGGAAAAGTAGTTTCAGTTGCTTCATTTCTCTTGGTTGTCCTGCTTACAAACTCACCTGTGTTTTTATTAATTCACTTTAACAACCTCCCCTGCTTTACAGCTGCAATATGTCACCAATTAGTACAATGCCTTAAATTTTAAAGCAGGAGGGAGGAGCTGGTCTAGATTCATTGCAGGTTTTCAAGATGGAGCAGCTCCTGAAAGAACTTTGTTTGGCTTCCAAGCTCCTGAGTGACTTTAAGGATATGTATGAATATGAGAATCGTTTAAAAACCTTCACAAACTGGCCCTTTACAGAGAACTGCAAGTGCACTCCTGAGAATGTAAGTCTGAAAATGAATGTTTTGACTATGCCTTGTTATATACTGTGCCTGAATGTGAAGTCATTGTAAAGTGTATCCATGTTCCAAAAGAGCTGTGATCTTCCACTCAGCCCTAGAGAACAAGGACAACTGAATGCTCTAACTTTACTCTGTTCTCTGCTCAGAAATACTGTAATAGGATAACTAGCTTCTGCATGTTCAGTTCACTATCCTAGCTACAGAATTGAATGTAGTTACTTTTCTTGGTTTGGGGTGTTTTTTTTCTTGTCATGTAAAAGTTAGTTTCTTCTGCTATGTAGTTTTTCTGATTGCAAGTTCTCCTTCATACTGAAAAAGAATTGAGTACACACCCAGAAGGAAGAATGAAGCAGAATGATCACTGCTTAAAATTCAGAAATTGACATTCTTTAAATTTTAGAAACAGTAATGTTTACATCCCTGCAGGCTTTGACTTCAGCATTAACAAGTAAAGAACTAAAAAAAATAATCTATTGGACTTTTGGTTTTCACACATGAAACTTCCAGGTCGGGCCATACTACAAGAGTTATAGAAGAACATGTGAAGTTTGACTGAAACAAACATTTAATTTTTAGTGTTTTGGCCAGGTGTGAGTTTAAAGTGACAGAAAAACAGAAGCTAAAGATCTAGCATTTTACTCACAGAATTTATATTTAAAGGCTCTCTATGTCCATGATCTAAGGCTACACTGATATCTGTTCACTCCTTGTAGCCTATTCCTTGTTTCTTTTACTAGTTGCTTATTTACCTTCTTGCAAGTAGCACGCTTAGAAGTTATTTTTCAGCCTGATCTGTGCTAACAGGCACTGGGAGAAAGACAGTATTTCCAAGCTCTCAGAATCACTGTGCTGATGGAAACTTAGAGTGATCTTCTGGATAAGGCTCTCAACCTCTAAACTGTCACCTGCAGATGGCAAAGGCGGGCTTTGTCCACTGTCCGAACACAAATGAACCAGATGTGGCAAAGTGTTTTTTTTGCTTGATAGAACTGGAGAGCTGGGAACCAAATGATGACCCATGGTAAGCACAGGTGTGACAACGTACTTGAAGTATTCCTCCAAACTTCTTTGACAGCCTTCCCTTACTTGTTATAGAATTACCAATTTCTCTGTAACAGTTCACCAAACTGAAGCCTATTGAAATTTTATCTTACCAATTACCTTGAAAAAGTTAATAATTTCTTAAATATACCCAACACTATTCTTCATAGTTCTTTCATTTTGCCTCCAAAGAGAATGCTTTTGATTTACAGTAGAAAACAGTTTTTCTCAAAATTGTAAACTCAGTCTAAATCTTCCCTGGTATTTTCTTAGCTCACAACTAGCTTTTAACTGAGATCCACTAAAATCTACTTCAGACCTTTCTGTTCAGATTTCTTCATCTCTTGAACTGCAACTTTCAGGGTTTACTATCTGTTCTTATTCTGTGTTTACCCTGCAGGGAAGAACACACCAAACGTCACTGCTGTGGCTTTTTATCCCTCACTAAGCCCTTTAATGACCTGACGATGGAGGAGTACTATATGCTGGAGATGACACGGCTGAGAACCTTCCTTGTAAGTGCTGAATAAAAAAATCTTAATACCAGGTTCAAAGCTAGAATGTAAACAAGAACTTCCATCTCTGAGAGTTCTAAGCACTGTAAGACTGTGTAAGGCTGGAATGTGACTTATTCTGAAGTAAGGATATGCATCTATTATTGGCTAAGAAATTTGCAACTAACCACTTTTCAGTGTAGTCTACCATCCAGCTTTTGAAGGAAAACCAGTTTTCTTTAGATATGGTTTTTCAACAATTCATTACAGCAGAAAAGATTTCTTGGGTGCAATAATCAATCAGTCAATCCAGGAAGCTCTACAATGAGCAACTCTTATCTTTCTCAGAAGGGATGAACAACGTGTGAAAAGATAATTTTTTTTTCAGATCATTTCTATTATTGGCTAAGAAATTTGCAACTAACCACTTTTCAGTGTAGTCTACCATCCAGCTTTTGAAGGAAAACCAGTTTTCTTTAGATATGGTTTTTCAACAATTCATTACAGCAGAAAAGATTTCTTGGGTGCAATAATCAATCAGTCAATCCAGGAAGCTCTACAATGAGCAACTCTTATCTTTCTCAGAAGGGATGAACAACGTGTGAAAAGATAATTTTTTTTTATCAGATCATTGCTTCACGTGCTCAGTTTTACATGTAAATCAGTCTAATTAAGCTTCCTAACTTCAGAGCCCATTTCAAATGTTTTGCATTTACCCAGTTTTACTCTTCCCCACTTCTGGGATTCATTCATGCCATAGTGTTGACATACAAAAGCACAAAAATTAGCTGTTCTAACTAGTTTATAAAGATCAGCTGATCTTTGATATATGACCCCTAATCATATGAACAGTTGGAATCAAGAGAACCAAGTTGCCTGATGAGGCACAGTAAAGGTTCTGTACCTTAACTCCTACTAGGTTCGCACGTAAGATCTTTGCCTTGCTGATAATGTTCTGTATTGAAAATATACCTGGTGACTGCCAAGGTGAAGTATTTAAGGTCCTTATGCAGCAGACTCAAATACATAAAAATGGGATAATGTGCTGCAGTGGCAGCAGTCTGGTATCTTCAGGTGGACTAAGTGAGGAGATGATGTTGGTATCTAACCTGAACAGTAAATTATTTAGAGCAGTGTTCCAAGGTACAAAAGAGGTCTTTAGCCAAAATGTTAGCTTATTTCTATGTACAGAGAAAACTTGAAGCAGCTTCAGGTGAGGACACTTTTCCCCCAGGAATACTGACACCAATAGCCTGGAGGGTGGCATGCTAGGCCTGGTCCTGAGCATACTGCGATCTTGAAGCACCAATACCCTAATGCCTCCTGAGAAGTAAGATTGTTCCTCTTCACACAGAGAAGGAAATCAAACTTAAGTCTCCCTCCCTGACATAATTTAAAATACAGCTCAACAGTAGGTCCACAATTTGCTTTAAAAGTATACTAGACATACAGTTGTAACTGCACCAAGCCCTACTGGCAAGGCTGGCAAAGGAGTTTGGCTGAAATGGGTGTATGCAGATGAAACATCTGCTCAACTATGCTGCACCAGGCAGACAGCATTATTGCTGACTTCTAAGCTAGAATTAGTGGCAGATCAGTGGGTTTTGAGGATCTAAGTTTTGATCACAGTTGAACTAGACAAATTGCTCAATTGAAAGTCTCAATTTTTTGCTTTCCTTTAAGTGCAAAACTGGCAGAAGTATAATAAACTCTTTTGAGGAAGAAGTCACCGCAACGAGGCAGCGCCTGGTGGATTATTTTGTGTCTGAGCATCAGTACACGCCGCCACTGCCAGCGCGTCTCCATACTGCTCCTGCTGCCCAACCTCCTGAAAACTCATGGCCAGTCAAAAAAATCCCAGAAGAAGTGTAAAGTTTGAGTCCAAAAGTTTATCTTCTTTATATGGTAAAAACACTTCTGTTTTTCTCTGAGTACTAATATAAAGCTGAACAGTTGTGTGAGGAAGTGTAGAGAATTCCTTTCATAGCCTTTCTGGGACAGAGGCCATAATTGTTGATACTAACTCTTCTCTTTCAAAATGTGCTTTGTCATTACATCTAGGTGTGGACTGATACTAGTCCCACTAATGTGTGAATGTATGAAATATGTCTAAGCAAACACTTATATTCCAGTTTTTATCAGGTGGGGTTTTTTTTGAATAAAGATTCTCAACTGAGCACCTCTCTTTCCTTAGACCAAATGGATCTGACTGGACTAACTTCTACCTCGAAGCACCTACACTTCTGCTTACCATTAAATTATCTTCCCAGATCAGACAAAATGTAGGCAAAATTTTTAGATAGTGACATCATCAAAAAACTTACATAAGCGAAACTATCAGGTGTCTCAAAAAAGGAAAGTGAGGAGGTTAGTGAGACAGTTTCAAGGAGGAAGAACTGTGGGGACTTTGGTGTGTACACTGAAATTTAACATAAGCTAAAGGCCAGTCCTTCTGGTTTCATGATTATTTTTTATTACAATTTCAAGCTTGCTGTTTTTTTGAACTCTCATTAATTCCTATTTTCCTTTATGATAGGCTATTGTAGAATGGCTGTAGGCAACACAAATGAAATGTATCCTAGCAAATACTTTTGGCTTCTAAAATTGATAGACCTTTCATTTCTATATAAAGTGAAGGTTTCAGACATAGTTTGTCAGGTCTCAGGCAGCAGATGGTAAGCATCCTTTGGAACACCCCCAACTTTTCTTGCCACTCTGCAGGTAAATCTTACTGATGGGGATCCTAAAAATGTATGTATTTCAACATTCTTTAAAGCTTTTGTGAATTATCTATAATGAGAATAACTTATCTTTTACCTTGACTCATCAATCCATGTTGTATTTTTTCTTAATCTACAGAAATGGGGTTGACATGCTTAAAGCTTTTTTTCAAAAAAACAACCCCCAAACTTCCCTTTTTCTATTAGAACTGAATTATGGTGTCAGTCTTCAACATTACAATGACACCCATATAATCAGTGATTATGAATCAGGTTGCATCTGAATGCAGGAAAACAAGAACTGGACAGCCAAGTAAAACAATGCACTAGAGAATTTAGCTTGTAAATGGCCTGTGAGTAATCCAGCTGCTGAATTGTTATTTTATTTACTGGATTAGGAACAGCAGTGCTTGTGCGGCATATGAACATCTTAGACTGAAGTCCAGTGCCAGGTACGTTTGCCTTTCTGAAAACTGGTATTACAGCTCTGCTGGTGAGCTGGTTAGTCTTGCCTGTGGAGGGCTGGCAACAGAGGTGTGCAGACACACCTGCACAAACTGTGTTCTGAGCAACTTTGATTTAGCAAATTAAATCACGACAGATCTGATGTTCTGCTAAGGATCAGGAGCCTGGCTCCTTCTGCAACTTCGAGGAACTTAGTTGCAGATTGGAATCCAAAATGCTGCATTATGTTGATGTTAATATATGGGGAAAATAGGTACCTCAGAATGACATCTGTAACTGCTGTTGAAGAGTTGGCTAAAAATTCACAATCTTTCTAGAACTGAGTGAATTAGGAAACACTGAGGAGTGAATTTTGTACTGAAGGCTCCATGGAGCTGTGTCACTGTGCAGAAAACTTCTCCATGACAAGAGATGCATCAGTACAGCTGAGGTCCCTACTCAAAGATATATACAATATAACTAAATAAAATACATCCTTGAACAGGGGACTTTCAGGTTTCTCCTACTTTTGGAAGGAAGCCAATCTACAACAGTAAGAGAAGGAAAGGGAATCTCAAACTCCTTTGAAAAACATTAATAAACTATATTCAGTGTATGGTTGCAGATAATATATTAAGTGGTGCAAGCAACACTGATTTTGTGCCACCTCTCTCTCTTAACACACATGCATAAAACTGCCCTTTACTTAAATTTGTGTATCACTAATAAGACATGGAAAAGAGCTGGTTGCATACTACTGAGGATAAACTACAGTGGTGCTGAAAACAATACAGCTATCATAAAAAGGAATATTCTTCAAGATGCATTAACTAGCATTTTTAAAGCTTTCAGTGTGTTCACATTCAATGACAGTAGTATTAAAGCTAGATAGGTAATGAGGTGTTTTTACATAACAAGGCATTGCAACTCTTTTCTATCAAGACAGTGATGATGACACACTCCTTTTGATCAAGGACTCAAGGTTCAGTAATTGAATGTTCCTGGCTTCAGTGTTACTGCTTATTAGATGCTTTATCAGTTAAATGATGACCTGATACTATAAATCTCGTTTTATTGAATGGCACTTAAATGAAGGAATTTTTATTTCTTTTGTTTGGCTGTGTGACTGCACACATAAGTATCACACACCTCTTGAATCTTTACTTCTGAAAGCCAGCACCTTTCATTTATATTAGGCATTGCTTTAAAAACCTATTAGCTCAAAGTGCATAATGAAGTAGTCCCCTCAATAAATGTCTTTTTCAAAGGCCATAATTTTTCTGTTCAGGCAGCTATTTCCCAGATAAGAACTAAAGCCCTCAACCCACTGTGGTTTTTTTGTAAGTGCCCAAGGAAAGCTTGATCTCTGCTGTTCCCAGTATCCTACAATCTGGACAAATAAAGGAGCTGCAGCTGCTTAGTTTCTTTCATGTCTCTCATGATACATTTACGAGAATTTCCAACCAAAAATCCAAATACATCCTTTTCCTCTCTGCATACTTTAAAGCCACTTGTTAAATATAAAGGATTTCTAAAATGTTGTTGTTCAATTATTTGTGTTTTATTCATTGTAATCTCTTTGAAATGGGTGTAAGAAGTCCTGAGCTATTTGACTGAATATAGGTGATAAATATTCATCACATAATTTAACAGTAAGAACAGTGTTTCAAAGGACCCAAATGAACAGTATTATTTGAACAGTGGGAGTGGTTATGGTCAGATAGTGTGCAAGTCAGAAAGAAGGATAACTTTTAAAGTCATTTGTTCAGGAGGTATGTGTACAATGAGCACTTTGCACATCAAGAATCATAAGAGTGGAGAGTACAGTAACATAAAAAAAGGAGTTATAAGTAAGATTTAAGATTAAGAAAGTGCCTAAATGTGAAGTAAAATTCAGTTGTAGAGCTTATATTTCAAGAAAACAGTGGTGAAGCCAGATAAAGGCAGTCAGTCATTTCATTTATGTAGCTATCACTGTCAGAATTTGGAACAGGACACAGGTCTCCTGCATCCCATTCCAGTTTCTCTACATGGCAATAATTGGTTTTTACACATATCCAGGAAAGCAGCATGCTACATGATAGCATGAAAGGCCATCTTCAAAGCACATTAAACACACATATAGACTGACAAGGGACAGTGGTTGCCTTAAGTTCCAAGTTTTGTTGCCCTTTTCCCAGCCAAAGACAATTCAAACCAGGACTTGCTATTCAGAAGTCACCTGACATACTGGCAATAACCTGCTACTGCACACCATTTGCTTAAATATTTACATTCATATATATATAAGAACATACCAGGTCAAATGACAGCACTTCCTTTTCCCTGAATAAATATTTTCCCTGAATGACTATAAATGTTAATTAGCTTATGAATGCAAGTAATGAGGAATGATAACATACCAAGCTGTCGCACCAATTCCCATCCATCCTTCAGCTGCGTAAAATCCTTATGAGTGTTGGTGCAGAATGGCAAATCTTCTAGTTGACAAATTTCATCCCATGATTTTGGAGAAAGCCAGGTACATGCATCAGAGGAGGGATTGTCCAAACCTGTGCCTCCAGTCAACAGAAATTTCCACTTGTTCTCAATGACCTACAATGAAAAACACTGCTCTCAGGACTAAATAAATAAGATCTAATGGTTTTAGCACATTATGTAGAAAATCAATACATTTACCTGAATGGTTGCATTAGCTGAAAAAGCTTCTATTCAACTAATAAACACTTATTTCAAAAGTATTCAGTGTCTGGTTTTCAGTTAAATGTGAATTTAAGGAATAAAAATCCTAAGATTTGAGCCAATTTGCATTCCTTACTTGGAGAATGAACAATGTTATGAATTTTACCTTTTTTCAGATCCATTCTTCAAATCCAGGATGTTCAAGGAAAAAAAAAAACAACTGGAAATATTTGAGGGCACCAGGCATTTTGCAACATTTTCCTGTAATGCTGGTCTAAATTGTTAAAAAGAAGTATCAGCCTATTGCATGTCTCATTCCTTTCTCAACACTCCTCCATCTCAATATGACTTTGATGGTTTGAATTTGTAAATTGAAGCCCCTGTGAAAGGGAGACCAGCGTCCCATGATTATTAGTCTCAGCTCTTGAAAGAATTCACTTCCATGTATTTCCCAATATAAAAGTTTCTAACATTTTAAATGTTTCCATATTACACTGAAAGAAACAACCCCACGCAACCTTAAGTACTGTTTTGCAGAGGATATGGTTTAAATGTATGCATTGCGTTATGAATTTAAAAAATCTTAATAGCTAAATATTTTGTAAAAAATTACTAGAAATTAATATAATTCAGTTGGTACAAGTGTTTGATTTTGAGGAATTATATGCAAAAATAAACACATTTAGCACCTCAGGTGAAAAAGATTAGTAGTTTCTTAAATCAATAATTACAATTAATTTTGCTATGCTCTTGGAACCCCCCCAAAAATTCAGTAAGATACTGCAACATGTTCATTGTAAGAATAACATAGGCTGAGCTTTGGTTTAAGTTACGTTTAAAAAACCTGTTACTATCCAGCTCAATTTGCCATACCTGTTCATTATGCACTTATTTTATTCTAAAGTATATTTTTCAATGCTTATAGTTGCTTATTAAAATGAAAATAAAACACCACAAAATGGAGGCTTAAGTATTATAATTTATATACACTTATTTTTCTATTCCTAGCCTGTATGTTTCTACTACTGATAGTTTGTATATGCAGTGTAATATATATAATATCAAACTGCAAATTATTTTTAATTACTGACCAATCTTTCATATTCAGGAGATTCACAGACATAGAAGAGCAGCTTGTTCTTTTCAAAGAGGCAGTGACAGACAGTCAAGTTAAGTAAAGTGATCCTTGAGAATCAACACACAGGTGTCGAAAAAAGAATAATCTGCCATTACTATAACTCCAAAGAGTGTGCACTCTGGAAAACTATAACAAACCATTTAGATCTCCTTTGTTCTAATAAATGCTCCAGTCAATTACCCCAAAGCAGTCATTAAATGCATGTACTGTTTTGTGAGCAAAATAATGTAAGAAACATTTAAGTGCAATTCCATCTTAGTAACACATGATTTTCAGAGGAAGCCAGAGGTCCCTTTGGGGAGGGGTAGAAACAAGCAGCAATTTTACAATTCATTATGAATATAAATAGCAGGGCCAAAATCAAACCAGTCCATCATTAAATGTTACTTAAAATATGCTTCCCATTCTACAGCACTTTTTTCCTTAATACGCTTTAAAACAAACGTATTTAAAACTAATTTATTATCAGTAATCTTTAAATACAAAGCAAGGAGGCCATCTACTGTTTTATAAAGGTTTAGGGTTGAATACCTTGAATACCTAGTCAAAAAAAGGACAAGTCCATTCAGGTAGATAAAAATGCAGTGCCTGAATTTGCACAGTTATGTCAAATACTTTTTTCAAGTCAGTAATACAAAGTTGTGGAGAGGTGTTCTGGCTTTTTCCGACTACCTATGTCACCAGTCCCTTGGCAGAGAGCTATTTGGAAGGTATTCCTGCAATCCTGACACAGTTATCATTCAGAAACCCAAGTGTGATCCATGGTAATTGAAAAGTGGGAAGCTTTCAACTGAAGATCAGGACTGAGAGCAAGCTGTGTTATTTGATCTGTGTCTCCTTTTCAGTCTTGTGTTTCAATCTATTTTTTTCTTCCATTCAACTAACAAGAAAGAGACATTTTAAAATATTTTTAATAATATTACTGTAATATATAAATGCTCCTTTTTTTAATTAGCATTTAAAGTCCTTTCAAAATTGGTTATTCTTCATGAGCTAAATGGATATATGTACAATTCATAAACAAAGATGGCCATGGGACTACATGTAAACATTTCTCAAGTTACAGAATTAGTGTGGTTTGCATGAGAAAAGAAGTAAAAAAACAAACAAACTCAGCACAGAGCATATAGTAAAAAATGTCTGACTAGTGAAGATAGCCCAAGACCAACAGTCTTATATGAATCATTAATTAAAAAATAATCTTCTGGTTTTCTCTGCCTTCACTGGGCAAAATCAACAAAATGGGCTTGCACCAAACAGTCCCTGGGAATCCGTACTGTTAGCTGGGATTCAGGTCCTGAATCTTAACATTTCTGATGACAGAAAGGTTCTGAATAAAAATGAGATAATTCTCTTTACTGCCTACTTCAATTTAGTCACACAGGGGTTTTTTGAGATATAAAAGAGTAAGATTTAAAGTCAAAGAGCCAGGTTTACAGGACACAGATTGCCTTCTTGGTAAAAGGCAACCTTGAATGCAGTTTCAAATGAGATACCAAAATATTAAGCTCTGACTTCAATGATCAGTGGAAATATCTTTGATAAAACACTTCTGCTTAGATTGCCCAGATCTTGAATAAATTATAATGAAAAAATAACCTTCATAACCAGCATGCCACTAAACTGAACACTACACATTAAACTACACACTAAGCACTACCTTACCAAGTACTACAACTTACTTGTATTTAAATAAAATATAAACAGTAATGGATAGTTAAAAAATTGCCACTTGCAATATTAACTAGAAAAAAATCTATATGCAAATTGGGAGAGTAGTTTCCCCTCTCCCATCCCTTTTTCATGTGATGACAGGCAAGTAGCTAAATAACAGAAGCAATGTTCTGCAATTTGAAGATCTAATAAAGCCACTAATGTAGAATTTAGTAGCTGATGTGATAGAACACTGAAAAAAATTCTCTAAACAATCTCAGTGTAGGTAATTCACTTCAAGGGTATACTGTGAATAATCCTAATGTCATCATAATAATGAGGTCAACACATGCAAAACAGAAACAGATCATTGAAGATTCCATGGTTTCTCCTGTTCCCATGAACAAGCTAGAAGAGGGAAGGTCACCTTATGGATAAAACAATAACCAAACAATTAAAAAATGGTTGGGTAACTAACTACTGCCTTGCCTTGTACACTCTACAGTAAAGAGACACAGTCGAAAGACTTCATTTTCTCACTAGTTGTGTGAAAAAGTTTCTTGTCTACTTCTTGAAGACATACTAAGTCACTACATCACAAGAATTTAACAACAAAGCAAGTGGACCACTTCTGTCTAACCGATACTTGATCATTTCACACATGACTTGAGGTAGATATTACTAAATAGAAAGAGTGAAATATATTGCACTTTTATTATATTGTACCATTTTCTTTCTAAGAATAAATTATTTTTTCAGAAAATATTTGACATGTATATGTAAAGAAATGTATTTCAAAATGCAATGCCTGAGACAATGCACTTTGGAGAAATGATAGTAACATTTCTGGAGTAACATTACCAATTATAAATTATGAATTATCACTATTACCTTGCATGTAAAACTTCTGGTTGCTCTGAATTATCCATAGACGAGATGACCTCACAAGTTGGTACATTTGCTCAACGTTGACCAAATCAGCAAGACATAAAACCAAGACTGACGCCTGTCAGCAAATGGCCAACAGCCCATATGAGCAGCATTGATCTTTTCATCTTTCTCTTCAGCTACAGCTTGCTGCTCAGGACATCTCCTTAGCCAGAACTTCAGAAGAAGATAGCATCTTAATAGCAGTGACATCCTCCAAAATATTTTCTTCTGAGGCTGACAGAACCTCTAAAATCTTGTCTTCTATTTGTTTTGGCTGCCTAAAATGTAGACAAGATTTTTCACAAATGAGAATTACAGCTGTTTTACATTAGTTTCTATAAAGTAAGGCAATGTGTAGATTGTGTTCATAGTATGCAGCTTACATAACAGAACCTTTTTTTTCGTATTAAACATGTCCTTAAATTTCTGAACAATCTAGCCACCTTCAGCCTAAAACCAGACAGCATAGGGAGGAAGCAACAAACCACTCTGAATACTGCATGTTTCATGCTTTGACCTGTGGAGAAGGAAGCCCTTTGCCACGTACAATCTCTGGAAATATAGCACAGGATGAAAACATTTCTGATACCCAACCACTATTATCTAATAAAAATTTGTGAGGACAGCAAATCATATGCCAACATCATGACAGTATGAAAGAATGTATTGCAAGGTATTAGACTTGAGAAATGTCAACACTTCTAACATCTTCCAGCAGAGTAAAGATAAAAAAACCCCAAAGTTGGCAAGGGAGGAGGAATAAATAAATGCCAGAAATTCTTCCCTGGTTTTAGTCAAGGAATCATTTAAAAATTAAAACAGTTGGGCATTCGTTTTCAAAATTCTTACCTTAACAGACATTTCAGGAAGATAATGTGGATTCCTCAGCTTAGTTGTAATATAAAAGCAGAAATCAGGAGCATACTTAATAGTGGATTCTACAACATAAATGTAAATAACCCCTGACTGCTTAAAAGTCTATTTAAGCAAAAATAGCTCTAGGATAGGATCAAGCTCTTCTCCAATATTCTCCAGCAGCACTTCAAGTAACATTAGAATTAGTAGAACTTTCTTGGCATTTGTATTACTGATTGACTGTTCTTTCCAATATATATGTATAATGTGTATTTACAGTGTGCAAACAAAAATATTAGTTGAGCAATATCTAGAGGTAAGGTTAATATTATTTAGAGTGTTCAGCTGACTGAAAAAAATGAATCAAAGAAATGTACCTTTAAAAGGGAAATAAATTAAATGCTACATGCTACAGAAATACTTTTTGGCAACTAAGTCTGCTTCTGTTTTCACTGTAAGCATATGAAATTGTCAAAATCAAGAAAGAAATAATGGAGAGTAAAGAATCAATTTCTTCACTTGTAGACCAATTAGCCATTGAAAAACAGCTGGAGTTGTAACTATTTCATTAACATTTCTATTGGAGGGTAGCAATACTACTTGCAATAAGGACACTACAGAGAATACAATTATTAATAATCACAGTCTAGCAATCTGGTATTTATACTCTTGAAAAGTCAAATAAAAACAACACTACTTTTTAGAAATAAGATTGTTACATGACAACAAAAACATGGCAAATCTCATAAAACAATTAAAAGACACTAATTAAACTGATTATTATAATTAAAGTTTGCTAAGAAGGATCTTATAGCCTGGGGTGAGGGCTTCAATTACTGTAGTACTAACTTGATTTAAAGTGAGACAAAAAATTCTGTTTTCCTTAACTATGAAAACATTTTATACTCATCACAGTTTCATTTTTTAGCTAATTGTGCCCCCTCCAGGTTCTTCTGTAATTTGCACTTTCACTAATCATTAGTTTAGGAGTGAGAGTTTTGGAAGAGAAATATACCACTTGTGGCAGCAGCCCAAGATTATACATGGGATGTTACAGAGGTTCCTTTGGTGTTATGGATCACAAATTGGACTTGGAGTGACCATTCACCAGTTGAAGGAGGAAGGCTTTCTTCCCCGCTGCAGAATGACCTAGGAAAATGGGTCATCTGCAAGGGACCCTTGTCCAGCTTACACATGAAGGAAGAAATCTTTCACAGGTGAAATGCACTGAGATGTTCAGGAATTGCATTTGTAGTCCAACAGGACGGCATGATAGCCAAGCAGACATTAAGAAAGTTAAAGTGTGGGCTTTGTGAAGTTACAAGTATTTAGAATAATTCCATAAACACATATAAGGACAAATTTGGTAATACTGTAGGTGCAGAGAAGCAGAGAATTTGAAACATGAACATGTTAGATGAGGCAGTTGAGTAAGCAGTATTAGTAGAAGACAATCTCACAGTAGGTAACAAGGTTCACCAATGGACCCAAAGTGTACAGAAAGAATTGCTGAGCTCACAATTTATATAGGGTTCAGTTGCTTATGAGAACCCAAAAGGAGACCCAAGGGATATTTAAGCCAGATATTTAAGGGTAAGATGATACAGCAGTGGAAAACTGTAAACTGAACACAGTAAATTTCTCTGTTAAGCACATTGTAAAACAGACAATATTTATGCAATTTGCTCATGATAATTTTGCATCTTCTTCTTTTAAAACAGGAAGTTAAGATTTGAGAAAACTTCAGCCAAAGCCTTCAGTATGCATCTATTTCCCTAATTACTTCAGAGTTTCCTTCACATACTATTTGCAGCATACCCCATTTCAGACTTATTGTGTAACAGGCATGAAATACTTAAGACTGAATAATTAAAGAACAGTACTCTAATAACAGCCAAATACACATGTATTTTGTCAATGATAAAATCCTTTACTGATGGGAATGCATAAGCAGACACTGCGTATGACTGCAATTATCCTTGAATAGCTCTCTAATTCTTCTTTTTTAAAAAAAAAATGTTGTTATAAAAGGCCTGAGTTGCATTTTATATAGTTCCTGGGGTCCTAATATAAAATTAATCTAGCCATAAACTCAAAACTGCAGGCATAACATGTATTATCAATTTGAGGTAGATTCTATTTCACATTTCAAAATTAAAAGCTACCATTATTTAGTTTCAAAATGCTAATCATCTTTCCATTAGTTCAAAGACAATTTTGATCAAAGCTTCGTAATAGTGAAGTGTTAGGATGTACTGTAGAAGTGTTGAATTCATTAACATTTGTCAACTGCTTAGCCCGAGTGATTTAATTATTAATACAGTAATTACTTTAAAAAGTTACATAAACATTCATAATTCTAGCATATATCCTCTAACTCCAATATAGGTAGTTTTCCTTCCAGAAGTACTATCAATGCCAACTTTCAAATCCAAATGAAAGTATGTTGACCTTCTCTAGCTGATGCATTATTTTTTCTTATCTGGTTTATTTTGCTCTTTGTCACCTATTCAGTTGCTAAAGCTAAATATCACCACAAAGCTACACTTCCACAAGTTAGACCTATTCTATGCAATTTCCCTTACACGTGAACACCTAACACTCACTCTCCAGTAAAAGAAGCATTAATTCACCAATGCTATACAAACTTAAGACTCCTCAAACAGTGAGAAGACTTTTGATGTAAACACAGTAGCAAAAAATTAAAGATAGATATTAGAAAGTTTCTGCAGTAGCATACTGTAAAGAAGATACATAAATGTTAAGTACATGTCATCGCAGACTTGACACCCTTTAACTTGGCCATGGAAAAGAATTAAGAATTACTATTTCATGGCACAGAAAAGAGAACCAACAGACTTGGAGTAAATGGATAATCACAAAAGCAATCACAATCAGAAAACCAGTAAAAGCAACACTGTTCCACAGTCAGGTCAGTTCAGCTGTGCTAAGACCAAAACCTAAAAGCCAAAAGTCAGTAACAATGCATTAGCAGGCATACTGAAGACACCTGAGAGCTTTGTTTATGGTCATAACAAGCAGAAGCCCAAAAGAAAACCTTAACTCTTTATGCCAGGTGACAAAGCTTAGTGTGCTGAGGGCACCGAGCTCTGTGCTTAGCAAAAGCAGCAGAGCCATACTACCTCAGTCAGCTGTGGGCACATTAATCTAAAGATCATCACTAGTGAGCTGCAGATGTTTCTAGCTGTTAAAAATTAAGATGGTCAGTTCCCAAGCTATAAGTTGCCATACAAATCACTGATGCTTGCACTCATTGTGACATTGATATATACCAATAAACTCTACCCAGATAAACATAACTCTCATGACTGATGTGAGACACAGATGTGCATGTACTAGAATATCACATAAGAAAGTAGAATCATCTTAAAAGTGAAAGACAATAATATTAGATTTAGAGTTCAATAGATCCACATTTTTTCTATGATGAATTTTGATATTTCAGAATTGTTTCACTTTTCAATAAGAATATGCAGAATTTTCAAACAATGTATCATTAGATAAAAATCAAAGTATTTGATTTGAATGTAGTAAAGATAATTACAAAAGGGAATTTTTTTGAAGGTGGGATTTAAAAGTGAAAAATAAATCCTTCTTGCCTTACCAGAACTTAATTCAACTTGTGATAAGTCTATTACCATACTAACCACATTACAACAGGAAGGTACAATTGCATCTGCCAAGCTTCTAACTATAAACAGTGTTTAGTAAATGCCAGCATTCCAAAGATGTAATCAAGTCTCTGTTATGAAGACAAATTTCAAGAATATTTTATTTTTATTTTATTTTTAGTTATTTGAAGACTGGATTGGGTGCAAGGATGACTTTGTGGCACCCCATTCATAATACCTCGTAAAGAGATCTCTACACTAACGCAAACCCCCAAACTCTTAGCTTTTGCCTAGAAATATGTAGGTGGTTCTGCTCCAGAATTGATCCTAGGAATGACTAGCCTGTACAAAGTATTCATAGGGGAATGAGGTCCTAAAGAAAAGACTCCCAATTGTCAGTACAGACACACCTTTTCACCTTTCATCACATATCTGAAACTATCTCATGGATGAAGAGGACATATGAAATGAAGAGCTGCACAGAAGAGAATATGCTATCCAACAACTTCTGAAAGAAACAGGTAATTAATGTGTATGCACAATCACAAGAGCAAGAATAGGCAACCATGAATCCACACCTACTGTTGCACAGAGAGGGAACCACACAGTCAGAGAGAATGAAACTGCACTAAAATTTTCCGATGAAACCAGTATCTACTTATTTTTAGTGAATAATCAGGCAGATGTCTCTGCATTTTAGGAATATCCTCTGCACTTGCCTGGAATACAGCTCAGCATCCTTTACAATATTTCACCAGCACTCCAACCTACCAGTGTTATATCCCATGTTGGCTATAAGCATAAAAGAGAACTGTGAAAAACTGCTGACCATTTATTTACGCTATAAATACACCATAAACCTAGCTCTACAAAGTTTTAAAATGGTAAGATCCCAACATTGTCGTTATGAAGAAAATAGTTGTTTGAAAGAACAGTACAAAATTTTCTAAAGAAAAATGGACTAAGGAAGTACATTGAAGAAAAGTGGGAATAAGAATTATATCCAAGTTTTATGTTCAAATTGTTATATCTAGAATCAGCTGCCATGTTGAAAACTTTGTGTATTCAGAATTTCCATTTATTTCACTAAGAGTTATAAGAAACAATCTGCTATGTTGTTGAGCTATCGTATTGTCTCTTTTTGTACATAATTACTCTCAGAACTTGCTTACTTCTGCTGCTGCCGAAAAAGAAGCTAATTCTGTTTCCTTTGAAGTTGACAATTTCACCATTGAATGGAACAGGAGTAACCAAAGCCAGGAGGTATAAAGTTACTGGCAAATGCTTTGGGGAAGAAAAGCAACCAAAGGACTCCATGTTTTACAAAGCAATAAATACTTTACAGTAGAACAAAGAATTTCCCCCAAGAGTTTTATAAACAAAACTCTAAATCCTACAATACAGTTTCAGTTCCACTTGTGAATTCTATTAAAATATAATTTAAAAATATAAACTTGAAAAATTAATAAAATTATTGCAAAACACAGGGACAGACTCACTGTACATATTATATGTTGTAGCTGGATGTAAATGCTCCTAGGTACAACTACAGAATCACAGAATTGTCACCATTGGAAAAGATCTCTAAGATCAGGGAGTCCAACTGTCCATCCAAGGGGAAATAAAAACAAACAAACAACAAAACCCAAAAAAACCCCAACAACCCACAACCAAAACACACACATAAAACCACAATCACACACAACCAACAGCACACAGCTCTAAAAATCTGACCATGTCCACTAGAGCATGACCTGAAGAATATGTTTCTTGAATACATCCAGGGATGGTGACTCCACCTGGGCAGGCTGTTCCCAGTGCCTGACCACTCTTTCAGTAAAGAAATTCTTCCTAATATCCAATCTAAACCTCCCCTGCCTCAACTTCTGGTCATTTTCTCTGGTCATGTTGTTATTTACTTGGGAGAAGAGGCCAACACTCACCTCCCTACAACCTCGTTTCAGGTCCTTGTAGAGGGCAAGGAGCTCCCCCTCAGTCTCAGTCTCCTCCGTATTTCCCATATACATTATCTATTTCGTACTTGAGAAGTTTAAATACACTAAAGGCAAGTTCACAGCACAAGCCTGCATAGTCCATGCATCTATCTATATGTGATTTTCTTTCTGCAAAATTCTATTTAATTTTTCTAATTCTTCCTAGGACTTTCTTTAAGTTGCTATTGCAGGTTAAACTAAAGCTGAAATCCAAACAAAAATATCTGAAATCTAGTCAAGAATCAGTGCAGATGAGACAAAAAAGTCTTATTTGTAATGCCTTTTTAGCTGTACTTGTTCTGCTCCTAACTCAGTAGTGGGCACCTCACCTCAGTTATGGAGTTCAGTGCTAATGCTCTTGCCTTCAGTCCAGGCTCTTAACACAGCACTTCCAAGTTTACAGGATTACATCAGAAGCGGATTAGTAGATTTAAGATAACAAGGTAGAGCGTGCCTTCAACCCAGAACTAAAGATCTATGCTCTCCAAGCACAGAAAAGGAATCATAAGTATTCTGCTCAGTTATGAAACTCCCAGAGTGAGCTGAAGAGGTAGCTAAAAAGAAGTAAACTATTGGGTAGGTAGTACTGGAAATTGTAAGGAACAGCAGGAAATTAATAAGCAAAGTTTTAACTGCGAATACAGAAGAAGCATACAAAAGAATTAAACACTTCTACATGTATACATAAATCTAATTTAAGAAGAGGTTTGTAAACTAAAGATTTATAAAGCAAAATCTCTCTCATCTCAGCACAATGCCAGATCCACCTCAGGCTGCAAATTAGCAATTATACAGCAACTTTACCTGGACCTGCTTCCATAGCTGGGGGAAAGAGAGCCCTTGGAAGGGCTGAAAACCAGTGAAATGGTGCTCACTGCCCAGCACAGGGGAAGCTGGACACCTGAGATGGTGGTAGCCAGACCTCTGAAGTACCAAATGAAACACTTCAAGAGTGAAATAGGTTTTTTTAAGTTCACTGAAGACCAGCTGCAGACCCTGGAAACATTTTTCCATCAGAACCAGTACCTGTACGTCATCATCCACATGCACCTGCAAATCACATTTATTTGGAGGAGAGGATTGAGGTGAGATCCTGCCACTCAGTGAAGTAGTGTTCAACCCCCTGAGAACACAGAATATTGTGCCGTCTTTTTCAGGAGCTGCAAACCCAGAGTCTAATTTGAAAAAAACATTCTTGGGTAGTTAACAAAACACAGTTTAGGTTGGGCAAGCAACAGAAGAGGATGAGTTCTAATGGGCTGATTTGTTCTGGTATCTAGTCCCATAAACTCACTCGCTCCATCTCTCCCAGATTCACCTATAAAAACACACATGCTCAATCCTGCTCCTCCCCTGCACTGACATGTGTATTCCTTATTTGTGTGATCTGCATGACTTCTGAATTTGCCATGGAGGGCTCCCAGCTCCTTTAGGCCCCTTACACATATCTGAGCAGGACTGCAGGGAACGGACCGATTAAATTTTCTATCAAGCTTTTATATCAGGAAATATACTGCAGTATCCTAAAGCCCAGGAGTGTAACTGCCTGCCCCTTCCAAATGAGACGTGAAATGTAAAAGCTCTTTTCTTGTTTTGTACTTCTTAGGTTTGGTTTTAAAATTGGCAAACCAAGTGGCAGCATGAGAAGAGGGTGTTTACTTCAGCACTGATCCTTCAAGGCACCACAAAGCCCTCCAAGGATTGCTGCTAGTGGTCACAGGCTGCATCTAATCAGAAGCACACCAAAAATATCCATCACCCATAGCTGACAAGTTCTGTAGGGGGGGTACTCTGAGGGAGGGCTAATGAAGTAACCTTGAGACAAATAATCCCTGCAGGGTAGAGGCAGACATGGTTCCACATGAGTACTTGGAGATACCCAGGGTGTTACACACACTGTTGTTGGCAAGAGACTTAAGACTCAGTATTTGATGACGGGCCCAGACAGAGGCTTTCAGAGGAAGCTAAAGAAATACCAGATTAATTGGATTTGAATGTATGAACAGGAAGAAATTGTAGGACTTCCCTCTGTCCCGATCTTCTAAGGCAGGTGTATCACTTGAGAGTAGAAAAGGCACTTTGTCGTTGCTAATGGCACTTCACCCTGTATGCTTCTTGTCTCCTGCTGCTGTCATGGAATGTCACCTGAGACCCTCAGTTTAAGAAAGGTTTAATTTGATTTTTATCAGACTCCAAAGCCCTTGATTGGTTCTTAAACTGTTCAGCAACGTCAGTTACCTGAGAGCTGCAAGCCAGGCTAAGCAAGACACCGGTGACACTGTCAGTCTAGGAGAGAAAGCAGGAGGTTACAGCTCTTCCTTGGCTGAACTTCTCGTCCACTCCCGTTACTCGCCGGG